CAGAAATACTGAGTCCATGGCCCTCAATGATGGGGGGCTCATCAGATGACCAGTGAGGGTGTGGCCATCTGGGGCCTCGGTGCTCAGGTGCTGTCATAGGTGTAAGGCGCCACCTGCCTCACAAGTACAAGGTCCCAAGTTTGATCCCTGGTGCCAAAGAACAGATGGAAGGAGAAGAGGAGAGGGCTCCAGCCCAGGAAACAGCACTGTGTACAGGGTGAGAGAGGAGGAGGAGGAACCCACAGAGGAGGAAGATAAGGACAAAAGGGCAAAGTGGCACGGGAATAAGTGGCGTCATGGAAGGCAAGAGAGTTCCAAAGAGGTGCAAGGGCGATAGGTCAAATGCTCAGAGAGGTCAAGTAAGATGATAATGACCAAGGCCCCCTGGATTGGAAGTGTGAAGGCTGACTTTGCCATGATGACTTTAGTGCGTGGCAGGAGCAAGTAGAAACCTGAGTCCGAGGCTTGGAGAGTGGGAGGGAGGTCAGAGGTGCAGGTTGAAAGAGTTCATGCTTGCTCTCTTTTCCTTTGGGTCTGTCTCTTTCTCTCTCCCCTTCCTTTCACCTCCCCTTTCTGTTCTGTTTTTGAACTTGCTTATGGAAGAGAGGAAAGGCAGAGTGCCAAGAGAAAGAAAGTGGCACAGGGTCAGTGGCAATACTTGTTGAGGCAGGAGAGCCTGGAGACTGTATAAGGCTACAGGTGGATTGGAAGGGGGAAAGCCAGGATAGGGAGGGTCAGGTGCACGGATCTGCCTGAAATAAGAGAAGGGATAGTGCCCCTGGGAAGTGGAAGGAAAGGGCTGGGGATCTGTCGATACAACTTGTATAAACGCTCATGCTACCCAACCTGTGAGTGAAGCTTTGAAGTTAGTGTTTTTTATTGTCATCACTCTGTGTCTGCCTGATTGCAGATACCCTCTGGAGAGGGAAACTGGCCCCAAATGTCACTTTTCCCCTAGCCTAATAAGGAGTGCCGGTGTGGTGGTCAGGGTCAGACGTCAAGGAAATGCCTGGCTGAGACCTGGACTTCAGTTCCAGCTTGTGCCCTGTGGTCTGGCTGCCAGCCCTTCTAACGAAGGCAACCAAGCCAGCAGGCACCCTAACTGCAGACCAGGCGCCCCAGAGGGAATAATTAGCCTCCTTCCTGCCGAGCTTGCAAACCATCCAGTACAAAGTGGCGGCAGTAAATGTCACATGGGGGAATTCTTCATCCCACAGCTGGCCCCAGGGAGTGGAAATGTTATCTGGGGCTCAGAGCAGACACAGAATCCTGCAGACACTGGAGCCAGAGGACAGGGCCACAGCTCTAGTGTCTCCTCTTGAGGCCAAGCCCAGGCCAGTGGCCTGGGCAGGAAGGAGCTTTGTTTGCTGTGCCTGCAGTTGTTAATTCCCAGGCCCTTGGGTCAGGTGTGAAACACTGGGGAAGTCAGTTGTGTCTGCAGCCAGCACCTCCCAATTTCTCCTTTAGTACCCTTCCCATCCCTTCTAGAAGCTCTGCCTGTCTTCTCTGAACTCACTGCCCCAACATCCGTGCATCCCTCCTCCAGAATGGACAAGAAATGCTCAAGGCAACGCTGAGGTCTTCCCTTCCACAGGGGCCTCCTGAGAGCTGCATGCCACTTTTGGGCTCCTTGTTTGTCACTTGGGTGACATCCTTTGGGTCTTCCTCTAGGTACTTTGGGTACATTAAAAAATCTACTTGGCCCCTACACCAGACTATGGGAGTTAGATACCCAGGTAATGCTCTTCATGCTGGAGCAGCAGAAGCGGAGGCTCCGAGCAAAACGACTCCCGCAAGAGCACGGGTAAGTTGGAAAATGGGATTTGAACACAGGTCCAGTCTGGCTTCACAGTCAAAGTGGTCTACCTATTGCCCCCACCGAGCCCCATGTCATTAGAGGAGAGGCAAGGGAGAGGTGGAGTGACTGCAACCTGGTCTGCCTGGGATGGTGCCGGCATTCACTGGCCACCCTGGAGCCGTTAGTAAAAGCATCCCTTCTATTCTCAAAACTGCTCTAGTTCAGACAGCATGATATATGGTCCCCTAGATAGGGGGAGGGCTCCTGAGAGGTTGGGTGCCCTTCTAAGCACTGCCCCTTCCCTCCAGAGCTCCTGACTAGTAAGTCTGCAGCCTTCTAGCCAATTCTACTTCCTGTTCTCAGGCCTCAGAGTCCCCCCTCATAAAGTGGGTGGGTGCTCCTGCCTATCTCTGAGGGTTGAGCAAGTGAGGTGGGGAGGAGGGCTTGGAAGGCTGCCATGTGCCTCTTCCCTAGTGAGGGAGGGCATTGTGTAGGAGATACGGGCCCTTGTTCTGCAGGCCTCCCCTCACCTGCCCTCCTGTCCCCCCAGGAACAGAGTACGCGCAGGATAGAATCATGTACACACTGTCCACTGCTCTCTGCTGGGGAACTTAAAGGGGAGACTGAGGGAAAAGCTGTTTCTTTCCCAGCTTCCTCTGGGGCAGCCCAGACAGAAGTGTCCATCCAGGGGGCATCCCTGGACCATGCCTCAGGCCACCATCAGAAGGAATGAATGCAGTTTGTGTCTGACTTGGCACAAAGCAGCTCCCTGAGTCAGGAGGTTGCAGCTGGCTGGGGGCCAGGCCTGGGGCTCCGGGCAGTGGGCAGGCTCCCCTCATAGGGCCCAAGTCACACAGTATAGGTCTACCCTGCCAGCAGGGGACCCTGGAGGGTGCCAGGAGAAGGGCAAGGGAAGGCAGGGGCTGCCTGCTGCTCCTCAGTGTGGGTCATGTTCCCTCCCCTGGCTGCCGGCCCCCACCTGAGGCCTGGACTTGACCTTGCTGGCTTTAGGGGGGAAGAGTGTGACAAGCGTCTGGTAGAGGGAACTAGCTGCCTGCAAAGGCATTTTCCGCTCTCTAAAGTAAACAATCAAACAGGAAATTAATTGAAAAACCCACATCAACGGAAGGTTCAGGTTGTGATTTTCACAGCCTCAGAGCCAGGAAATTCAAGGTTACAGTTCCCATAGCAACTTGCCTGTAGACTCAGTGACTGCTGGGTTGGAACAAGACCTTGAAGGGTCAATGCAGCCAGCCCCTGTCTCCAGGAAGCATCACCAGTGGTGAGGTTGAGTGTCTCAGGGTAAACTGTTCTTTTGAGGCTGCAGCACACTAAGCCTGGGAAATTGGGGCAGCTGGGGTCCACTTTGAGAGCTCACAGAGTGCTGTGAACTAGGTGATCAGCTGATTCACGGGATTCAGTTGTCCTGCATTCTAAATGCCCATGTTCCCACTACTATTCCCATATTCCTGTATTCTCCTGCTTCCCAGGCTGCAGGACGCCCAAGTGAGAGGCTATGTTTTGCATACCCAGCCTTATTCATGTTCCCCTGTCCTATAGGATGACACAGCCTCCTCTCATCTCTGGCCCACTCTGATGGCCCCTGAATCTTGTGATTAACCTCTGGCCCATCCCCTGGTTGCATCTCCTCTGAGAAGCATCTTGTTTTACTTTCAAACCCAGGAGTTCCCAAAGCAGCCACCAAGACAGCCCCATTCCTCTTCTCCCTCTTGCAGGACCAAATCCGAAACCTTAGGTATTAGCTGAGTGCCACCTCACAGGTCCCTGGACTGATGGCCAGGTGGAGTTAATGAAACCAAGGGCAAACCCTTCACCTTCCAGGAGGTGGGAGATTCGGTGTCTTGGGTGGAGTTTTCTTTTGTGTGAGCAGTGAGGAGTCTTTGCCTGGCAGGAAAGGAGATAAGGGCGTTGGAGCCAACCCAACAAGGAAACAGTCTGGAATCCCTCTCTGCGCGTCACCCCGCGCTCCAGCTGAGATGGCCACAGATAGCAGGCTGGCCTTATCAGCAGCAGGCTGAGACCCCAGGAGAACACTAGCTGAGTGAGAGCGGGTGCTTCCTGGGCACCACACCTATGGCAGGGGTACTCGGCTGCCTGCCCAGCCACCAGCCTGACCCTGGAGCCAGTGCCTGAGTGAGGGGGGCAGCGAGTGGCAAGTGAGAAGCAATGCCTGCTGGAGAGAGACAGAGTGGCTCCTGGATTTCCTAACCAGCCATCTGTGTGCCAGGGGCCGACGGGCAACTCACCAGGCCTGGCCTTGCTTGCGAAATTGTCCTTTCTTCCCCTGGGTGAGCTTTTCTGTGAACTGCTCTCCAGCCACCCAACTCCTGGGACATCGAGGACACTGCCCAGTGCTGCCCATCACACTCTGCCCTTCCTGGATCTTCCCTTATTTCTATCTACCTGAACATAGTGGGTCACCAGGGGAGGTGGGAGACATTGTGGTAATGTAAGACATTTCTTCTCATGAAGCAGGCAAATAGATTTGATCAGAAAATAGGATGGGAGGAGGCAGAGGTGGACACAGTGGTGACTTTCCTGCCTCTTCAAAGTAACCTTGAGGACTGCAGCATAGGAGGTTGCCAATCTGTGATGAAGGAAGGGATTGTCCGCACCCAAAGGGCCCCATCTCACCTAACTCACAGATCGCAGAATAGGTGATCCACAGGGCTGTGTTGACCCATTTTTCCTTGAGCTGGGAAGAAGCTTCTCAAGGTTCTTGGTGGTAGGCCTGTGAACACCTGGAAGTTTGTCCCTCTTGCCAATCTCAAGAGGGTGGACTCAAGGAGTGTGCACGGGGAGGCAAAAGTGACCGGCAAGCGCCCTCAGAAGTTGAAGTCACATTTTTGTTGGCCCATTCTTCTGCCACAAAGCATGGCATTCTGAAGAACTCTTAGCTTAAGCCATGTCCTATATGCTGTCTTTAGGGATAAATGCACTCAGTGGCCTGGTTCCCAGACAGAAGTACCACCTTCCAGAGGTGGCATTTGAAACCATATTGCAGAAGCTGGGCCCAGAGTCTGCCCTTCAGGAGAGTGAGCTCAGTAGATTCTGTGGCGGGTTAGCGTGAAAGGCAGTAACCAAAGACCAACTGGGTAGAGACAGCTGGGCCTGGGACAAGTAAGCTCTGTTAATGTTCAGAGAATAATAGGGCTGTGCTAAAGGGATAATTAGCATTGTGCTCAGAATGGCAGCCACCCAACAGAGGGGCAGACAGGCCCAGGCTGAGAAAAGGGCCTGGGGCTGCTTGGGGATGTCAGAAAGAAGGGATTCGGTAAGTACTCTTTGCCAAGTCTAAGAGACTTGGAGATAAGAGCATTTAATTGGCACCTGTGAGTTTGTTTGGCTGTAGAGCTTTACCCTTAGCAGAATATAAATTTTAATAATGGGGCAACTCTTTCTAAATTGAGATGATCTTTTTGGATGAATGAGCATGTGAGTCAATATTTTGTATTCCCCATGCATTCTTACTGTGTTCAACTGAGCGGGTGCAAGGAGATAAAGTGCTTAGCCTGGCATTCCTGCTCGCTGGCCCCCTTCCACGGGGCCTTGTACCGTCCTCCCTCTCCTTCCAGACCTCAGGTCTGGCCAAACTCATTTGTTCACAGGTCTATGGAAATGTCTTGTCCTCATCTGCCTCCAGCCTTTGCTCATCATTTTCTCTGTTATGAATGCTTTCTCCCCTCCTGGCTCCCTTTCCCAGATCCCTCAAGACAAACTGCAAGACCACCCCCCCCCCCGCTCCTCCTCCTCCTCTTTCCTCTCTTTCTGAAGGTCACTCTGAGCTTCTGCCCGAGGCCTTGCTACTCACAACCCCAGGGGCACCTCCATGGTTCTACTTATCTCTAGGTCTCATCTACATCTACCTAGTCTAGTTTTCCCTTCACGCTCTTCACACTGATTCTTGTGCCTAGCTTGCCCTCTCAGAAAACCTGGAGATTGGGGTGAAAGAAAGCATGTGTGAGGCTACTCAGAATGGGCTCCATTCCCTGGAATGCAGCCCCTCGGTGACAGAGAACCTTGGAGTATGGAGTGTGGCAGGTCCTGTGCTCAACTCCTCTGGGTGTAGTAACAAATTTTCATTCATTCATTCACTCATTCAACAAAGAGGCCCAGATCCTGACCTTATGGATCAATAGTCCAGTGGGGAAGACAGATTCTGCATAAGGAGATCAGGTGGAACCCAGGCTATAGGGGAGACTGCTCAATTCTAACCCCGACTCAGTCATGCACTCACTGCGTTGTGCAATACAGAGTTCACCTCTCAGCCTCAGCTTCTTCATCTGTACTGTGGGTATAGTGACATGACCCCTCTCTGGGGGTTGCTGAAAGGAGAGGTGAGACAAGCTTCAGAACAGTCCGTGAATGCTGTTATGAGTGGCCGCTCTTATTACTGAGTGGTTGTGTGCGGCAAAAGATGAAGGTGCTGTTGGCTGGTGACAGCCAGAACTCTTGTCATTTGTTTGGGGAGTGGAGGCTCAGGGACGGCTTCTTTGGGAAGAGACCTTTTCAGATGGAGCAAGGAAAGAGTGGAGTCAGGAAGAGAAGGAAGGAATATGTTCCAGGTAGGGGAAAGGTCACCCTCACATTCCAAATTTTCTGAGGGAAGCAGGGCAGGGCTGAGAGGGGAGTGACCTAGCTGGAAGATGGGTGAGTAACTTGGATGAAAGGTGTTGATGGGTAGCAGAGTCTTGGAGAGAGAGAGAAGTGGTGGCCAGATCCAAGAAATCCAGAGCCACCCACAGTGCCTGGGGACCGGCAGGGTGGTAGTGGTGGGGAGGAAGTCAGGTACAGCTAGGAGCAGGTTTTAGGAATAGGAGGTGGGTCCCATAGGGACACTGGGAGTTTGAGGGGTCCGTGGGTAGGCCAGGGAATGGTGTGAGGAAGATGGACCTAGGCCTGGAGCGTAGATGTGGAGTTTGTGTCTTCCAGTGTGGGCCAGCTGCCGCCCTTGCATCTGACCAACACTGGCTCCAGGGCCTGCACTTGACCACTCATTGCTGGCTATGGTTGACTATCCTCTGGTCACTCCTACACTGACCTCTGTGTCTTTGGCCCTGAGGGAGGCCATGACTGTGGAGGTGAAACACACACCCTCATCCCCCAAGAGTGCACAGCTACATCATCTGTGCATGTGCTTCATGTCAAATGTGACTAGGAAGACTTCGTTAACAAAATCAACCTTATTTCTCCATATTTTCTTCTAGTCTCCGAGTGCAGATAGAACGGACACAAGAGGTCAGGTCAAGGGGGACAGGGAAGGAGGAATCAAGGGTAAGAACCACATTTCTTCCCTCAGCCACAGCCAAGGCTGTCTGGAGAGCAGATCAGGTTTGGCCTTTCCAGGCTGGAGCTCAGAGGAGTGTGGTCTTGGCTGGAGATACTTTTTGAGAGTCTTCAGCCCAGAGGTATGAAAAGCTCTGAGGCCAGATGAGAGCATCTGGAACAGACTTGCTCAGCCTTGGTGCGACTAACATCTGCACCCATGTTTGTTGTGGAGGCTTCCTGCACCTGGGAGGTTGTCAATAGCAAGCCTGACTTCTCCCCGCTGGATACCAGTAGAACTCCCCCAGTAGTGACGACCAAAAATGTCTCCAATCATTGTCAAATACCCTCTGTTGGGAACCGTGGGTCTGTGTCAGGGGTGAGTAACCTACAGTTCCCTAACCATTGTCTACGAGAATGGTTTTTACACTTTTTCAATGGCTGGAAAATGTAAAAGAAGAACAATATTTGGTGACATATAAAAATGATATGAAACTCACATTTTAGTATCTGTAAAATCTTTTGTGGGAATAGTCAATGTCACTCATTTACATACAACCTGCAGTTGCTTTGGGCTACATAGCAGAGCTGAGGACTGAGCAGGCCTGTGGCGTTGGTAACACAGGTTAAACACCCCTTATCCAAAATGCTTGGGACAAGAAGTGATTCAGATTACGATCCCCCCCATTTGGAAAGTTTGCATATCCATAGTGAGGTATCTTGCACATGGAACCCAAGTCTAAAGGCCAAACTCATTTATGTCCCATACATACCTTATAACCTGAAGGAAATTCTATACAAAAATTTTAAATAATTTTGTGTATGAAACCAAGTTTCACAATATGGAATTTTCCATCTGTGGTGACTGTCATGCAGGTATTCAAAAAGTTTGGGTTTTGGAGCGCTATAGATTTCAAAATTTTCAGACCAGGGATATTCAACCTGTGTGGTCCTCTTGACAGGGACCATGCCGCTGACTTGGTGGGGCACAAGCCAGCCAAAGAGATGGCATGTGAAGAGAAAGTTCTTTTGAAAATCTAGAGGAAGAGAGAGGCGAGAGAGTTCCTAGAGAGTAGATGGGGTTAAGGAAGTTTCTCCCTGACTGTGGGGTAATGAGAACAAGCACTAGAGAGGGGTTGTATGTGATGTGGGAGAAAGAAGAGAATGGGTTCCATTGGCAGGGAGCCCTTGGAAGGAGAGAGGGAGGCAATGTTGGCATGGGGGTGGCTGACCAGTGCCCTGGTGGACTCACTACCCAAATAGGTGGTGGTCCACCGTAGTCGGCATGGCTAGCGTAGTAGTGAAGCGGCCCAAGGCAGCCTGTGGGCTGGTAAGATAATTAAAGCAAGCCAAGTTTAGGTAAGTAGGCTTAGATAGCAGTTTGGGTTAGGAAGAAAGATACTTAAATCCGGTTTTAAGATTATTTTAAATCTCACTCTATCATTTGTGTTTATATTTAAATGACTCTTCAAGCTATGTGCTAACTTTGTTGCAAAATTATATAGAAAAATCTCCAAGGGAGTGATTTCATATTGTCTTTCTACTCTTTTGGGAAAACTTTTTTTGGGGGGTACCGGGGATCAAACTCGGGTCCTTGCACTTGCAAGGCAGGTGGCGGGACCACTGAGATAAATCCCCGGCCTGGGAAAACTTTTTATTGAAGTGTAATTTGTGCAAAAAAAAA